AAAGTCCCCTTTGCCTCTTGCACATTCATCACTGCATGCAGTGACCTTTTCCTCATGTGAGAGGTTCACTGACAGATGCTGTTATAGACCCAGAGGGTTTTTAAATATACAGATTTAAACTCATACCTGAAAACAAATGTCAGATATTTCAAGTGTAGATTTCTGTTTTTCTCTTTGAAATATCAAAACACACTGAAGCCACACAGATGGATAAGTGTGAAAGCCTGCAATGCTTCTTTCCGCCCTCCATCATTCTTTTCGGTGACTTTTGTTTAACTTTAATGTCCACCAGACGCTGCTGAAGTATCCCCTCCTGACGGCACTGCCAGCTGAAAGACATCACTGTCTCTACTGCGCACAAACAACTCACTTCAAATTAACATCAAAGTGCTGACTGGCGATTATGGACATAAATCCAGAGGAGGGGGGGGGGAGCTCCTTAAATACATTTTATTGATTTGCTTTTATTTTTCAGCTAATGAAAGTAGTCACAGAGTTTCTGACAGGAGTTCAATTGTCCAGTGACACCTTTTATCCCAGTACTTTAATACTTTACATTAACTCGGATTAAGATTTTCTTTGGCCCAACAGAAGTATTGTAGTAAGCAGTTTCACTTCAGCCTTAATGTAATGAAGGTGGTTGTTTCATTTAAAATTAAAAAAAAGAAAAGCCTAACGGGAAAGTCTGGAACTCCCTGAAACTCACTGTGACATTTCTGCTGACACATTCGATGTGACCTTAACAGGTAAGTGCATTTATTATTTACACCAGCAACACCCTGCCCAACGTCACCCTGTTCCTGTAGTAAATGCATTTACATGCAGTGGAGAATTTCAGTACCTGTTAGAGAGTTCTGCTGGAGTGAAAGTAACACAGTTACATCTATTCAAGGTTTACTTAATGGCTGGATGCAGTTCCAGTTATAAAAAGAACTGCCAAGGCGGTTTAAAATAAATGAGCTGTAGGCATATTTAAATACCAAAATAAAGTTGTATTGATTTATTTGATTCCATGAGAAAAACAGATCACCATAGATTGTTCCTGTAAATGGTAAATGGACTGCTTCTTCTGTAGTTTTTTTGTACCCTGCTTGATCACTTAAAGGACTCTATGCAACATGTCTTATTCACCCACTTACACACACATATTCATACAAGCACTTTCCCCCTATGCCTAAGTGCTTTCTATCTAACATTCACACGCATTCACGCAATGTAATGAAAGCATTGGGTTCAGTATCTTGCCCAAGAATACTTTGGCACAGCGACTAGAGCACGCAGGGATCGAATCACAGCCGAAGATTAACTAACAAAACAGACAGAGTGAGAGCCGCAAGTTTCAGAAATGAGGGCTCATATTCTAACCAACCCCCCCCACCCCCCCACCCCACCCCAAACAAACCTTTTAACAGGCTAAAAAATATGTTTTGCGTTGTCAGCCTATAGCTCTGTCCATTTTTAAAGTGCTCATCATCATATATCATAAAGCCACTAATGAACATCAACTTCAACTCTAATGTTCAGCACGCCATCATATGTCAATCAATGGTTCTCCTTACTCCCAGTGCTAGTAGTTTCACCAGCTCACCTCACAGTATAGGCAGCATAAACGACCACCAACCAACAGGCTAAAATGACCCATTTGTAGCTTCTAAGCATGTACTATAGTCATAACACTAACATCTAATTTATATCCACAAAATTTGAAATATGCACGACGTATTATCATCACGTTGCTGAGCAACCACCTAACAATGGCCAGAAGAGTTCAACTGCTCTGATTGCAGAAAGACTTCCACTTGTATAGACGTCTGCAGCTCTCTTGCTCTGTGATATAACTTTACAGGCTCAGTCGCTACCTTCAGGTCATACTGAATAAACCATGATGTTCATTTTGTAAATCATGACGAGTCAGAAAGGAGGAATAGCCAGGGTTAGCGCTCATTAATCCATCCTTTGGTTTCAAAACATCTAAAGCACTCAGGTCAGGGCTTCATGACAGGTCTGCACTAACCGATGGCTGATATATCCACCTTATACTAAGTCTGTCGGTCAGTTGTTTTGTCTGTCATTGCTATAAGTTGCTGAATTTCATTGAAATTTCTCATTACCACATTGCTGCCACTCTGTTTACACCCTTCATATATAGTTAGCTGACATCCAACTATATATATGAAACCTATTATTACTACTGTAGTTAACTAAGGCACTTTTAACAAATTTTCATTTTTGGCTTATTGAGGATAAAATGCTTTCTGCTACACAATCAGTAGCAATCCAGTAGATCAGAATCCCTCTGAATCCCACCTGAAAATCACCCGATGTCACCCCATGAAAGGCTTCATTTTTCAGCTTATAAACAATTAATTCCAGTTGATCTCACCACACAGAAGTTTTGAGGTATCCATCATTTTTACCAGCACATGCAATTTTCTCCTCCAGTAGAAGCCATGACTCCACTGCACTCTGTCTCTATAACTGTTCATCTTTACTGTGTTGACCTTTGAGGAAAGGAGTCCAAATAGTAATACAGAAGTATAAAGGTCTGCATAAAAAAAATGGAAGCATCTGCAAACAGTTATGAGACAGGTGCTGAATAATAAACTGTTTGGCTTCTGGCAGCCGGTTCTTTCTTGTGAAACTTTCTGGCATCCAGGCATTTACACTAAAATAAAAAACTGTAATATTTGAATTATTTGAGGACTGGAAATGGAAATGCTTGCAGGAATATGTGCAACGTAAGAGCAACATCAACTAAACATTTGAACCTAGGTGCAACTGTTGTCATGCTACAGTGCGAACTTAATAAATAGATAAGAGACACCACCTGCTATGGGAAATGGGCTATATAGGAAGCCTATACAAGATATTGAAATCCACTTCCCTCTTCAAAACCAAAGCCCAAGAAGCCACAGGGCTGTGAGTAATGGTGAGGAACAGATATCTGTGCAGTTATCTGTTGCCAACTGTGTTGCATTGTCAGCTGAATGTCCTGGGGCAGATTTCTTAACACATACAGAGATATACATGCTCACACATACATTGAATAAAGATTACAGATTTGGTTTTCAATTAAATATTGTCCTCACCGACTAAGTGTAAAGACATATATGAGTGTGTACAGGTTTTTCAGTCGTATAAAAAGTCTCTTTTACAAAAACTTTTAGGGTTCTTTTGATGTTCATTTTTATCTGCATCAAGAAGTCATAAGAAATTGTATCGTGGCCGAATAACGGAACCTCGACTTTAGTATTTTACTCTGTTGAGAGGTGTTGTGCCTTATTATTATCACTGCGCAATATTCACAGCAATCTACATTTCAGAAAAGCAGCACTACCATTTTATTGTAACCATTATTCTAACAGTGCCTCAAATGTATGAGATCGTTACTTCCTTTCATTTTGTTGCAGCGGATGCTTCGGGGCTTTAACGTGAATGATGTCTAACTGTGACCTCTCAGTGAAGGGCGTGAGGTGCGAGCAGTTCAAACAAGAATTGAACGGAGAGCAGAAATCGTCCAATATTTCCCTTTATTCATGTGGTGACTCCTCACATGGTTTTTTTTGTTTGTTTTTTAGAAAGATATCCTGACAAATACGGACAGTCGTGCCTATGGAAGGATGCACACTGCATGCATGCCTGCAAAATCACTGTCACGTACTGTATGCCATCAACTGTGCTCTTCACTTGTGCATGTAAATTTATTGATAATCAGTAGGTGTCTGTGCCAGTTCTGTCATTACAATAAAATGCAACTGACAAAGGCAATAAACCCAAAGTGTGGAATAAGCAATATGCTAATCTGGTTACTGAGCACACCTGATACACGAAACCAAGTGATCGAAACTCATTTGTTACTTCTAAGGAATAATCAGACGGTAATGGCGTTTATCTGTTCAGGTTAAGCCTCAGTTAGTCTGTGTGTTTGAACAGAAACCGGCTTCTCGTGCAGCCTTTTAAGGTGCTTTTAAATGTTTTTTCCTCAACCGCCATCAAATTCATGTTTGAATTGTTTCCGTTCAGCTGCATGAGCACCTTTAGACGCCTGCAGAGAAAAGTTTGGTAGGGCAGCGTCCATCCAAGCAGAAATTATAACAGGGGACAGGAGATCAATACATTCAGGGAGAGATAAGGCTGAAGAATACCACAAAAAAGAAGGTTTCTTTGCATTTTCAAAGTGTTGCACTCCTCAAAAATTAAATTCGACACATTGATTACCTGATGTGAGTTTAAACTCGCGAGAAGAAAAAAATGCAAACGCCTGAATCTTAAGCTTATCTGAACAGGCACAAATGAGCAGCACCTGTCTTGTGAGTTTTATTTCATGTCCACATGAGTTCCCCTTTCACCGAGATGCCAGAACTGTCCAAAACGAACAAAAACGAAATAAAAACCCGGCACATCAGCGACTTCCACGGTGCTCTGAGAGGAATGTGACACCTCTCTTCATCAATTTTTGTGCCTAATTCTACTATTTTTATTACTCTCTTTCAAAATGCACTTATTTTTGGTCATGCAGCCAAAGTTGAGATCTATAACGCCATTTTTAAACATCAAACTGTGCTGTTGTCATCCTAGACTTTTGCATTTGGAAAACTCTCTGTCTGAACTTTTCAGCAAGCAGGAAATCAATAAAGGACATTACTTTGAAAAACATTAACATTATGGCCTCCTACATGCATCATTGCAGTTTTCTCAAGCAGAAAATGGGCTTTCAAACCTCTGAGCAAGGTTCAGATAATTCCCTTTAGATTTCCCGGTTTTAGCGACGCTGTATATTTCAGACACAGCTATTCCCCTGTAGACAGAGAGCGGGAGAGAGAGAGAAAGAGAGAGAGATAGAGGAGGGAAAAAACTTCATGGCCACAATATTTCTCTGTCAAATTGCAGGGGGAAGACAGTGCAGGAAGGCAGGGTCAGTGATGGAGCACTCTGCCCCGAGAGGCAGAGACTGACTCGCAGTCATAAAGGGAGTGATGCTCGGTGAAATGGCAGGAATCTCATTTGGCTGCTCCATTTTCACAAGCGTCATTATCGTACACCTCGATGTCCTGGAGACTGGAGGCGTCCGTATCGTCCCCTCCGCTGCTCCCACTGTTCCTAAAGGCGATGCTTCCTATAAAGGGGTACACGCTTCCCGTTAACAGTTCCCTGATGTTGTAATGAGGGAGTTCTGGGTCTTGTCTTTCGGGCTTGGTGATGCACTGTCCCTCCATGGCTTTGTTTCTTTGATAGTACTTTGAAAACTTGTTAAAGATGATGGTGATGGGAAGAGCCACCACTAGCAGGCCACAGATGATACACACGGTGGCCACAATCTTCCCCGCCACCGTCACGGGGCAGGTGTCCCCGTAGCCGACTGTGGTCATGGTGATTGTGGCCCACCACCAACCTGAAGGTATTGTCCCCAAATCGGTGTCCTCTTCCTTCTCTGCGAAGTAGATGAGGGCAGAAAAGATGGAGATTCCCACTGAGAGGAAGAGAAGGAGCAGGCCCACCTCCTGGTAGCTGTGGCGGACGGTGGCCCCCAGCGCTCGCAGTCCGATGGAGTGGCGAGCCAGTTTGAGGATTCTGAGAACCCGCATGAGGCGCAGAACCTGCACCACTTTCCCCACGTTTTCTATGTCCTCGTTCTCCTCTGCGCTATCCTCGTCGGCGGTCTCCAGAGCTAAAGTGGCATAAAACGGCAAAATCGAAGCGGCGTCGATTATGTTCAAGGGGTTTCCGAGAAACTTCCGTCGGGAGGGCGCGACAATTAACCTGATTATGAACTCTGCGGAGAAGCAGACGATGCAAACCGCCTCCAGTCTAGTGAGCACGGGGTCCTCGATGGGCCTGTCACTGTCATCCACACGCTGAAACTCTGGCATGCTGTGAACACACATGGCAACGATGGAGGTCAACACCACGCTGAGGGAAGCCACAGCAATGATCTTCGAGGCTCTCGAGTGACCCGGATCCTCCAGTCTGAGCCACATGTAGCTGCGAATTTCTGCACACCAGGCCCCTTTGAACTTGGCGAGGTCTTTATCGAGAGCAGAGAGCTCCTCAAACGAGGAGTCGAAGCTCGGCTCCTGCTGGTCTTCGCTCCTGATGTCCCAGTCTCTGTCCTCGATGTACTCCTTCCTCTCGTGGTACCAGTTGCTGCAGCAGGGGCTGAGGTGGAGCTCCTTGATACCCCAGTACTCAATCTCTTGACAGAAAGAAAAAACGCACAACTCCTCCATCATGTGGATTTGTCCCGTGTGGTAAAAGTTAAGCACGCACAGGAAAACCCGAGGATTCCTGTCAAAGTAGTACTCCTTCTCAGCCGGGCTGTAGTCGTCACACAGCTCCAGGATTGCCGCCTCGCTCTGGCAGCACAGCAGACGAGCCAAACGCGTGTGAGGAAAGCGGAGCACCATATCAGGATCCAGTTCATGCCGTACCCCTCCCACATTGAGGTGGACCTGGTCCTCCTCATCCCCTCGCCGGTGGAGGATTTGCCCATACCCCATGATCCTGAAAAGACATTTACAGTGAAGTCAGTTCATTCTAGCAGACTTTTTGTGTCTTTTTTTTATGACAACTAAAATGCCCACAAGGATTCCCCAGTGAAGACTAACTGTAACGTTTAAATGGATGGTTTCTATCAAGACACATTTGACTGCACTGTTTGTAGAATACATTAGTCTTCGGAAGGAGGGAGGGGGATCAATACAGCACACACAGGAAATGGCTTATACTGAGAGAGCAGAGAGGCATGAGGTGCTGTCACATGTACAGGATTACCACTAGAAAAATATCATTTTACAAACTGATTTCCAGCCCTCGTCTACATTTTTGTGTAGATATTTTTAAACAGTTGAATTCTAGACACTTAAGTGAAGCTGAGTTTTTCAAATTAAAGTTTTTTGTTTTTTTAAATTGGCTAATAAGGACCTGATAAGTCTGTTAATTATAGGGTCTTAATGCAAAGGTAGAAAAACATACCTGTATTTGGAGCGTTTCTTTCCATGAAAAAGAACTTTTATCCTGCCGTTTTGCTTTTCATCTTCTCCTGAAATGCCGCACAGAGCAGGTCAGCGAGGGAGTGTGGCGCCGCAGCTCCCCGGACGGGACAAGAAGAGCTGGAGGCGGGACAGAAGCACGGAGGCAGTTTGTTCCCTTTTCTAGGGAACAGGGAGGGGCGAGGGAGTAGAGAAGAGGGCAGCGAGAGACTGGGAACACCTCTTGAGAAATTTATAACGTATGTAACCTAGTCGCTTTATTTTAAAAGAGCCTCCAAAATTATTATGTTTCTGTCCTGGGCTATCACTTACTCACTCTTTAAATGTCACTTCAGATGTGCTCAATGTCCCTTACAAACCTCACTTGTTCTGTATTTGAGTGAAACAGCTGCAGTTGAACCAGCGCGGAGACAGCGCACTGGCTGCAGAGAGCGAAGTAACTAATAAATGGCATTTGAATCCACTTTGAGAAAGCGCTGCCGGGAGGCGAACTGCCAAACCAGACTCTAAAACGCTACTCATCAAACAGCTGCTGTTCAACGTTTATAAATCAGGTTTTATAACTTACCAAACTCCGTGTTTTTTATCCCCTCAAAGAAAGAAACCTCAGCATCTCCCACAACTTCTGTGTGCGATACGGAAGACCAAAACGGCCAAGGTTAAGAAGCACAAAAAATTTGACACAATAAATGCATATGCTATATTAAAAAAAAAATTTAAAATAAATTAATGCAGGCATTTAAAAAAAACTGATATCATTTATTTTGTTTGCTTTTATTGCTGGATTGTATAAGTATTTACTTAAGGTATGTTTGGGGTTTTTTTTTAAAAATTTAATTAATAATGTTTTAGTGGAGGAAAATAAATAATAAAATAAAATGAACTAAACAATAAATAGGGGGATTGATGAAAACCTAAATAATACAGAAATATGAAATTACTTCATGCTTTCTAAATTAACTATAATAATATTTTATGGTGCATTTGATGATAATTTGTCTGAAGTATCTTTGTTTGTTTTAATTTTTGCTTTTTAGCAGTGAAATCATAACCATAAAATCAGTTTCTTCACTTCCTAAAAGCACAGGGGATTTCCTGAGTGCTTCCTGCTCTTTAGGACTTAAAAATTCAATTTGCCATTTTAATATCTATCTGCTTTCTGAATAAATTTGTTTACAACAGTTCAGGGCTACAGAAGTTTATAGTTATTCTGCTCTTCTGTGGCGCAACCATCATGAACTCACAACCTGCACAAGGACAATCTTCTGACCTCAGTGGCACCTCTCAAGACCCCAACTTCATTTTGACTTTTTCTAATTGGTTTCAGAAAAAGTCCAAATGAATTTGTGACATTTTTGAATTTGCACCACTCATTTCAACTTCGGCGGGTTATTGGAAGATTGTATGAAAAATCTCACACCTTCATTTTTATTTTACTTTATTCACATAGACTTGCTCCCTCAACTGAAGAACGTCAAACCAGCAATTATTAGCAATAGTACAAAACACTGCTGCCTTTTTAAAATTCATTTCTGCTTTGGTTTTGTACTATAACTTTTAATTTTTAAATGCTGTTCAGAGTTTGGATGAATTCTCAGTATATAAGAAAACAAAACAAACACACATGCTTCATTTTATTAATTATTTACTTTACAACAGTTCATTTGGTTGGACAAGCATATTTGAATTTAATTCCAGTACAAGTGCCGTCAGCATTTTTGCAGCTCTGGTTAAAACTCACTTCCACCCACTCAACCTCATCAGGCTCCAACGAGATCCACCTGTGTGTGGCTGCAACCTCCCTCATCTTAGCCAAAGAGGTGCCTTTAGGTCCCCTACAAACTTCTTTAAAAACGGCAAAAACAGAGACGCTAAGATTACCACTTCCCCACCTCTTGTGCCATGGGTCACTCATTAGGATTGGGGTTTGTAGCTTTATTTTTCTAAGAACCTTTTTAGTCAAACTTTCAGATTTTTGTCTTTAACTGACTAATTTTTTTTTCAGGTGGTTCATTCTTTTGGTAGTTGTTATGAACACACAGGCTCAAAAGAGGCCCCCTTTAAGTAAGTTTTATTTATTTTATTTATAATTTTTCCTAAAAATGTCACTTAATCAAACTACTGCCTACTTACTCACGTCAATGTTTATTTCCAGATATCACCGCTCACTGTCTGGGGAATGTGATGCGTGTGGATGTTGGTGCACTTGGAGGAAATCTTATGAAAATTACTGCCGTCATGAGTAAGCTTTAAAAAAAAAAAAATTTTTTTTTTCTTTGGCTTCTTGCCTCTTAAAGCTTAATTTTTCCCACCTTTTTTTTTGTGTTCCTTATCCTCTCCTCAGATAACACTGCAATTCCTCTTACGCCAAGTTTAGCCTCGCAGTGTGGCATCAGTGTGAAGATTGATCTGCTGGGAAACGCCTTGATTTATGCCTCTCTTCAAAACTGTTTTGCTCACAATGTGGTAACGTAACAAAGATAAAGACAGAATTATTAGAGGTTGTTTG